TATATATATATATATATATATATATATATATATATCAAACCAGCCGAAATTAGAGGACAAATTCTGTTCCAAGACCACAGGATATTTTTCACAGCATCGTGTCTTTTACAAGCTCTGACATTGCTCCAAAGAGGATAACTTTGAATTACTTTGATATCAGAATAAAATATATTAATATCAAATATCATATCGTCATATATTACATTTTAGATTCATATAATAAGTTCTTCTTTATGACTTACGCATCATTTTGGCTTAGTCGTGAGGGCATTTCTTAATGCAGGATTTCAAAACTCAAACATCAAACTATCACGGCACTATATCTGAACTTCCCATCAAACGGAAAGCAACAGAGAAAAAAACACGCAGGTAACACAATGCATTACGAAAGCTAAATGGCACACGCAAGTTTAAATTAATAAAATAAAATGAATAAAGAAGTTTTTTAAAAGAATCTCTTCTGGAGCTGAGAGAGTGGATAAAGTACTTTACGGTGACTTGAATGTCAATAACAAGCACTTTGCGTAGTACTGGGTAATGTCTACCAATCATTCACAAAGCATTAACACTTGGCAAAACAGAGGATTCCTGCTAATGATTCTGGGAAATTGTACATTTAATGAAAGGTTACATTTATGTTCACTTAAATATGTGCCTTACTATTTTATGATTGCTGCAGGCAAGGACAGGGAACTACAATTACATTCTCAGATGGCCGACAGCAAGGTCGTTGATATGACATAACCTCTGAAATGAAACTCTGATTAAGCCCATTATCAAAAATAAACAAGCATTTCTGCCAGATGGCGTATGATGTATAGCACTTTCGAGCTTTCTAGAAGTCTCATTTAAAATTACGATCCTGGACAAATACCAGGGATGACTTACCCCATGCTATTACTGTATCTATGAGTCGCCCCCTAGTGGCCAATGGGTTTTACAGAATGATGTGATGATTCTTTACAGAATTTCAATTAGAGAACCAATTTTACTCCATAACCGATTTAATCTCTCATCAATTCCACAGGGTTTATAGAGTTAACTGCAAATTAAAAGCCCATTCCATATGTGGGATTACAAGACTTCTTTGCATAAATAATAAAAAAAATTAAAAAATAAATTCTTCCTTGATACTCACTATGATCTGTTACAAATATCAAACAACTCAGCCTAAATAAATTATCATAAATCACCAATAACTAAACTAATGAACTAAATAAATAGCTAACTAATAACTAAAACTACTGACCGCGTGAATGTGTGAATGTGTGAGAGCCACAGGTTGTCATCAGAACAAGTCGGACCTTCACATTTATTTGCTCACAGTTTTATTGAGCAAACACTTAATCACTGTATATATGCAAACGTAGACATATTTACTTGTATATTAACATCTGAACGTGTTTCGCCATATAATTGACATTTCGGAAACCAGCAGAACACTTGTTATTTAGAGATGCAGCGATTCTGATTAGCTTCTAAGACCAATTTGTAGAGACCTACGTGAAACAGGAACAGACGAAGACCATCAACAACAGTCACAGTCTCTTATTCTAAGAAATAGGCGCACGGCTTGGGACTTAATTTCCTAGGGAGGAAGGATTTTGAAATTTTAATTAAGCCACTCATTTCTGGATACTTGCAAAGATCATTTAAAATATAATTTGAACATCTATGACCATCGGGAGGCAGCGCTGATTACATTTTAAGTAAATTTCCTCCGATGTCAATGGCAAGCATTTCCGAAATAAGTAGGACCATGTATTTACAAGTAAGACTTCTTACTAAGACGATGCAAACCTGAACATTGTAAAGGCATCCTTAATTCAGTTGTGATTTACTAAATATAGGGCAAAAATAAAAGGAGATGGAATTGATTCGATTTTTTGTTACAGTAATACCCCTTTCTTATTTAACCTTATTTCAAATTAAGTTTTGTCAGATGTTACAGAATTTCGTAGATAGTTACGCACAGACGGGCAAAAAGTAATATCCTCCGACAGATCAGAAATTACATAAACGACGGAGGGAAACAGTATCACTGCAATTACTTTGGTTAATCATGACGCTAGAATCAAAGTTTCGTTTATAAGTAATAATTGAAAGCGGTTTTACATTTACACTCGCATAATCAATGTGTCATCACTATTGTTGGCAGTATGCAAATATAAGTTCGTTATTGCATCTGATCTCATATAAGCAGGACAATCAGTATATGTAAAAGCAGGTGTTTGGAATACATCGGTATTTGTCGTTCGGGTTACTTCTGGTTGAGCATCTTTGGTCCCCGTTATCTATTTAGATGGCCCCATCGGAATCCAAACTGCCTACCTCTGAACAGGAACGAGGTCCACAAGTGCACGCCGATATAAGCAAATCCAAGCAATTTACCGGCCGGCATTTTCCCAAAGTGATATCCTTTAATACGACGTGAGTAAATTCCGATCTGTGGAACGAGACCTGGGTGTCAGCACGCGGCGAAGGGATGGAACTGGCGCGCGCGATCCCTCTCTCTCTCTCTCTCTCTCTCTCTCTCTACCTCCCTGCTTCTCTCCTTTTCCTCATTTGCATCCTTACGCACACTTACTGTGGCAGTTCACACGCAATGATGCGTAAAATCACTTACATGTCCGCAGAGCTGACAAACAGTAAAACTTTTCTTGACGACTGCCAGTATCGATCGATTTATATATATTTTACAAAGTGTGTCTTATGTCACCTGCTTTGACACACGTATAGATATAGCGGCTACAATAAGGGCGTACTCTGCTATGGGCAAAGCCTGGGGATGAATTACTAGGTTATACTGAAACGTTAATGACGAAAATATTATCATGGTGCAAAAACGATTACTAGTTAGCCACATTTTAAATTAATAGCCTACTCGAGAAATACAAAAAAGGCATAACTAGTCTCCCGGTCTCCACCCGACATGCGCCGCGAGTCTATTATTCTGTACCCAAGCGATTGAGTGTTTGTTGTGGTTGGCTTACTCGTATTAACCTGACTAGTACTTCATCAGTTCAGAGCAAAGGGCATCTATTGTAGGTGGGAATTGTGTCATGTAGACAAACTGATCCATAAGTCTATACCCACCACCCAAAAGAAAAAAAAAATCAATTCAATTTACAAATTGAACATAGATGCCCCAAAGGGCTTCATATATACATAAAGTTAGGAAACCCCCGAAGCGAGGAGCGTATAGGAAAAATCTGTGGGGATCCAAACACAATTGGTAGCCTATCTTTCCTGAGGATGCCAGTCATACAACGACAGCTGGATGTAAAAATATTACCATCTATAACACGTCCGTAATTTATCCCGTTCCTTTGTTAGATGGCTGGTCTACAATTATTCTAATTGTATGATTCTGTTTGCAACCTACTTCGAGATTATTCTAAATAGGACACTGGAGTATTACGTTTATTACACTTCAAATGTTCTTAATTGGCATCATGATATGGCGAGAGAAGCCTCATAAAATAACTTTGTGATAAAACAACAAAATAAATATTTTTAAGAATCAATTTTTCTAGCAGTGACCTTGTACTGGGTAAGCAAAAGGAACATACATGGATGGATGGATGCTGCATTGTTTCCTTTATAAAATCGATATGCGATTAATCGTGTGACCTTGACAGACTTTTGCCATAATCTTGAATATACAGCGATGAGCCAAAATGTTGTGACCACTCCCATGTGGAGCGAACAATGTTGATTATATCATAAAAACAAGGCGCCATGCGTTGCACGGCGTGACTCTTCACTCACGTGATCATCACCAAAATGATCTACCATTTGTACCACAATAGCCTTTCTGTTGGCTTGTACCATATGGGACAGCCTTCATTCAATCAGCCTTTATTTATATAGCGCTGTTTTAACCACACAGTTTACAAAGTGCTTTACAGACATTTTAAAAGAAGAAAAATAAAGAAATTAAGCCACACATGAAATAACGATCTCATCCATCTCGCCTCGATGAGTCTTGGCCGCCTGACACCCTGTCTCCGGATCGTGACCTTTCCCTCCTCGGATCGCGCTCAGCGGGGACTCCCCAATGCTGACCGTCAGCGCCCCACAAGCCTTATCACAGGGGTCACCAAATTGTTTGAAACGGAAAGCTACTTCACAGGTACTGAGCCATACAAAGGGCTACCACTTTGACACACTTCTTAAATCATGTATAATAAAACAATTATTAAATGTTTTTTTTTTTTTTTTTAGATATTGTCACTTTCAAATCTATATAAATGCAAATGTGATTGAAGAATAGCAACAGGATAAAATTAAATTTTAGACGCTGCTCACTGGTGAGTTGTGCTATTTTCAGAACAGGTCCGCGGGCGACTCATGTGGTCCTTGGGGGCATCCTGGTGCCCACAGGCACCATGTAAGTGACCCCTGCCTTATCGTCTCAGATACTCTGTCCCAGTCATCCGGCCTTAATGCTTTGGCCTTTGTCAAAGTCTCTCAGATCTTTATTCCTGCCCTTTTCTTCTGCATTCAACATGTTGACTACGAGTACCGAATGTTGGCTTAGCATCTAATATCCCAGACCTTGAGGCACTATTTATATGACATTGTCAATATTATTCGCTTCACATGCGGATGGTCATAATGTTTTGGCTCATCGGTGCATTTAATTAGGTATTTATGTTATTTGTAGGGTATGTCATGAATACAAATAAGAAATATACCTTATCCAGAGCAGCACAGTAGCTGACGATTAAAGCTGCCCATCACTGATACAATGTGTCTTCTGACCTCTGAGGTGGAACTGCAATCACAAGCCAAAAAATGTCTCCTAGCACCTGCAAGTGGCAGGAAAAACAGCCTGGGACCACGTTTACAGAAAACCAGCGAGGAGAGCAACCTAGCAAGCGAAGGTCGAACGTCCAAAAGTGGCCCTTTTGCGTCTGACCAGAAGTCCAATCAGACACTCCAAAATAAAATGATCTTGCTGTTACAAAGACTTTTCCAAAAGCTTATTATGTTAGCCAATTATTTGTGTTCAGTACAGCAAAATAAAATGCCTGCACAGCAGGGTTGGGGCCATTCCGGAATGCATTCAATTCCAATCCAAATCAGGAAATAGAACATGAGTTGGAATTGGAAACTATGGGGAACAGAATTGTAACTGAATTAGAATTTCAGGAAGATTTAAACTTCAACTCCAGTTCCGTTTCCTGATTTGGATTGGAATTGATGAATGCATTCCAGAATGGCCCCAATCCTGCTGCACACAAATGAAATGCTTCCACAGTACAGCGCATGATTTATCCTATGTTTTTTTTTTAACTCACACCTACCCTGGGGTCAAATTGACCCCCAAAGTAACATAATTATTGTAGGAGCGTGTAACAGTTAAGCTAGCCAGTTATTTATGTTTGTTCAAATCTAGCCTACCTGCTTTATTTGAGGGGCGGAGTGTGGCTCAGTGGGCTATGCCTTTGTGGCTGCGATCAGAAGGTTGCTGGCTCAAGCCCCAGTCGTGGCAGAACAGTCACATGACCATGGGCATGGTCCTTAGGTCCCGGGCGCTGCGAGGCAGCTGACCTTCTGCTGTGACCCCAAGTCTGCTCTCACCAATGGAGATCAACATGGGATAAAATGAAGAGGGAATTCCCCACGAGGATTCATAAAGTATCACAGTCCTGTTTTATGTTGTATGCACCCATTGTTAAGCAGCTATTAATCAAACTCAGTTCATCTCCATGCACTGACCATTATAGGCCACCTTCTGTTAGTTGTATCCCAGGTTATTCAAACACGATTGGCCAACTTTCCTAGAGAGAGTTCTCATTGGATATTGTGAGTAAGCTGGTAGAACAGTGATTCCTGCTAGTTACCACAGCTGTGGTTAGTGAGGTCATTTGAGTACCGGCAGACAGAAGGAATCCATTTACCGGAGACATTAAGTGTGTAATTGCATATCATGATGTCATTTTTGAACACGGCAAGACAAAAGTTGGATTGATTCTTATCATACAAGACATTCATCTTTAGCAAAGCAAGCCAATGAAAAGGACAGAAAAAAAGACTTGACCAATCATTGGTCAGACTGAAACGGTAATAGATTCTCCCTTGGCCCATAATAGACAGTGGAAATTTTTATTGCAGGCAGTATCTGGTTAATCAACAAATACTAAATACGAAAACTAAAATAACGAAAGCAGTTGCCCTGATTTGTAACGTATCCGGTCATGATCTTTTTCACGTAGTAGCTGGAAAGTGACAGTGATTAAACTGAAAAAGAGACAGTTACTATTGTGCAGGATTCACCCAAGAGCATTTACTGCTTATGCTTTGAAGTCACTTACTTGACAATTCTGAGCCCACAAACCCTATATGGGAAGCTTTGCTGATCCTCCAACAAAGCAAATCGCTCCATTCCCTTTATAAGCCACAACAAAGAGTGTCACATCACCCTTCTCCTTCAGCTTGTCTGAGCCTCTTTAAATAGTCTCTGATTGGCCACACCTGAGCCCGATTATGCTGATAGGCTGAATTCAGAGGCAGACACTTATTTTGGGCTTTTATTTTTTTCATTTTTTCGAAAAACCATATAATGTTTACAGGAATTGGTCGAATAAGGTTTCCAGAAACTTCTCTACCGACATACCCCCCCCCCCCCAGGTAGGTCTGATTGATATGGCAGTGCCAGGAAATCCATTTCTTAAGAAAACACACACTTTATTTACAGAGGTGCTGCTCGAGTGTATTCTGATAGAATGTCAGGCCCTATCTGCGTTACGCTTGTCTGACGGGCTCCATGGTTCCCTTGTTTATTGTGGTCTCATTACTGTTACTAATACAGAATCGTTTCTTTTTTTTTCTATTTTCTGAGGAAAAATTCTCCTTCCCTTTGGACATGATGATAAGTTAAAGATGCTCCTTTTACCGGAACCCAGGTCATCTGAACATAGGAGTCTTAGCTGGGTGTTAAAACCCATCTGCGTCTTCAGTGTCTGTCATGTACACTCATGCAGAAGCGGCAGAGACGGCATTGATCAGATAAAGAAAATAAAATCACTTTATGTGTAGTTTGGAGGGACGGATACAGTTCACAAAGAAAAGTCTTTCTGAGAGGAGGCGTGTGTTTGTACGACGTGTGTATTGTGTTTAGGGATCGATGTAAGAAGCAGCTTCTGACAAGCTTTGGAAACTGAGAAGTGCTGCGTTCCTCCTGTGGTGACGTGGGGAGCAGCAGATGTTACCCAGAGGCCAGTGACATCAAGAACTGGAAAACCAGACGAAACCACGACAGATCAGCAGTGGCGGCCCAGTGGCAGCCCAGCAGGGCTGTTTGTGTTTGGTCCATCCCCAAACCCAGACTCCTTAAGAATGCATGATAATTGGGCTCATTCCATATTGTCTCCATCATTATCACTGCACTGCTCTTGCTGCTACACTGTCTCTCAGGTTTCTTACTGTCTGCACTGCTATAACATTGCGCAGTGCACTTTCAC